TATTCCAGTATTTGTATAGATGACTAATTTCTGAAGAATTATAAATCATATGGCATAACATTTAAAAAGTCATTAAATTAATATTCCAGAGAACTTTTATTACATATTTGCTTTCTGAAACAATTGAAGAAGTATGCAAATATAAGGAATGAATTTGGTATAAACACTTCCAGGCTGAAAAAATATGTAATTCTTTATTTAATATGCATATCTTCAGAGTGGCTATAATGGTCTTTGGGTGATTCAAGGGATTATTAATGTGAAAGTGTTAAAATCATTGGAAGACATTTTTTTTAAAAAGTAGATGGAATTAACATTTATTTTAATATACATAGGTTAAAAACTTATTGAGAAATTACTCTTACAGTGATGTACCTATCTGTTCATCTATCCATAATTTAATGCACAGGGATACATAGTGTCAGGAACAAAATAGGTTTGAAGTAGCCGAGTAATAATGAAATATCTGTTGCATTAATGTAATCTGTGGCTTGAGAATTGTAATTGACAAAATATACACTCACTCTGAAAATTTTTCTTCAACCTAGATATACATTGTAAAATCATCTGATTATCCATGGTTGATATGATTGATTTAATCTTTTTTTATCTATTTCATTGCTGTATTTGAGAATATCTGTGGCCTTAAATTGTAATTGACACTTCACGTTTTGTATTTAAAAATGTTCGTATATCAAAAATAATAGGAAGTATGAAGAGTCATAAAATGTTATTCATGTCATGCTGGAGAAGTTATTGTAATACTTAGTTCATGATTGTTACCTTTTGGGGTCAATTTTATCTAAAACCAGTAAAAGTCTTACAAATATTGTTTCTTCCATTGCAAAACATCCCATACATACGAATATTTACTGAATTTGTGATTTGTTAAGTTTAATTTAAAATAATTATCACAATTTTATCTACAGTGTTTTATTTAAACTTAAATTCTTGATTTATGTTTCAGTAATCATTGGTATGCATGATAAAAGATCATCAAAGGGAATATGGTCTGGAAAAGTAGAAATAAAATTTCCATTCTTAAGTATTTTGTCATGAAATTATCACAGAATGTTAATGCTGAAAATTAAAAYAGATTCATGCATTTTAACTTAATTCTTCAGTTGGATTACACATAACTGATTTTTATGTATAGATAAATTAATTTCCCATAAAGCTTGGAGGAATTATATTTTTTGTTCCAACAGTAACTAGACTGCAGCCTTTTATACTGCCTACCACTCAGGCATTACAAGGAAAGCTGGAAATTATTCTGTCTTGATAGATTACTGGAAGGAAGATCTTATTGAAATTGTCAATTACAAACACAAAAAGAATTTTTTTTGTAGTCTATTATCTAAGTTCCTTAACCAAACCTGGTAAATGTTTCTGTTTATTTTCAAGATGCATTAACTATTTTAGCACTTGCATAGAATGCTGCTAGTAATATATCTAGGTTGAAAGATGTTTCATATATATTAAATCTTTGAAATAAAAGGTACAGTTTCTCTTTAATAACTAAGTAAATATACAAATTATTTAGCACTTAACCTAACTTTGATTTGTAAGTGCTGATTTTTTTTTTAATGTGGAATGTTCTTTTTCACTCCAGCAAATAATGTTTTGTAATTATGAATGTTTAAATTCCTGCTAATACCCTATGTTAATTTTATAAAATGGAAATGCTCAACTTTTTGGTAAACATGTTATGAGAACAAAGTGATGGATTTTTAGCTCCAGAATTAATACAAACAATTTGTTTTTATAAATTCAACTCCTGATTTTATCAACTTTTTGTAACCAGTTATCAACAAGATCTTCCAATGGCTGGTTTATTAGATTGTTCATTTTTATAGGTGTTTATATATTCAATTTTTTGAAGAGATTAGGATGGAAATACACAGCTATRTGTTTAGGTAATTTAATTAAAAGAATGTTTCAATATCAGATTTAATACAGTTTGAAAGCAAAAAATCCAATCCTCATATTTTAGTGATTGAATAACATAATGAAAAAACTATCATAATAACTCAATTTTTAAAATCCACTTTTTTGTTTAGACATTCGAAAAATAATCAGAATATTGATATTTGGCAATATATAATACTTCCTGCAAAGGGTACTGAAATCAGTACATATTTATGAAAACTAAAATTTTAATGGGGATATTATTAAAGTTAAAAAATTTCACATAATGATTCTTAAAATCTTTAACTGTTTTTTGTTATTTTATTTTAGAGAAAGAATAAAACTAAATCAGAGGAGAACTAGTTTGATATAAATACCATCAGAACTGCAGACTTTGTCCAGAAATTTATTTTTAATTATAATCTCAAACACTAATCAAAATTAGTTTGTTGCCAGTAGTACAAAGTGGACTTAGGACATAATGATATCTGGAATTACTATACTCATTTTTATTTTGAATGGATACCTCTAAATATTACATTCTCTTTGATGTTGCTTTAACAAAATAAGTTATTTTGTAAAACTTATAATTATGGTTACTGAAAGATAAGTTCCATGTATTTTTAAGTTAGTGTGTTATACATTTAAGTGTGTTATATATTAAGAATTTATAAAGAAACATGTTACTTTTGACTTCTAAAAATTTCACATTGGAGCATCATTTAGAATTAGCAAAAATCATATAGAACCTTTGTATTGCCAGGGTAAGCAACATTCAAACTTTATTCCACTGAGAATAAATGGCAGATATCTGTTAAATAAAGGGCACTTTAGAAGCCTAGTGGAAATCATGTAAGAGTGCATGTAAGAAAGAGACAGAGTACCATTTAATTTGTCMTTTTTTATCTTAAAACTTAATTAATTTGCAAACAGTGCTGTTTAACTGTTACTGGTAAACAAAATCATTTGTGATCTACCTCACAATTAATAGCCACACACAAGCAATTAAGGAAAATTAGCTTATATTATGGAGAAAATTATAAGTTTGGAAATTTTGCTTTAGCCAGGTGTGGTGGCACACTTYTGTAATCCCAATGGCTCAGGAGGCTGAGGCAGGAGGATTGGAAGTTCAAAACCAGCCTTAGTAAAAACAAGGTCAGTGAGACCCTGTGTCTAATAAAATATAGGGCTAGGGATGTGGCTTAGTGGTTGCGTGCCCCTGAGTTCAATCCCTCATACCCTCGTGCCCACCCACCCCCCAAAAAAAGAAATTTTACTTTAGTTCAGACCACAACAGGTCAATCTGGTTTCCTCTTGTGGAAAGTACAAGTATAGTGGCTGAGTTTGCATCTGAGAAGCCAGAGGAAGGCTTGCTTATCTATGCTATAAGAGCAGTGGACATTTGGCCACATTTGTAATTTCAGTGTTTCAAACACTAGCTGGATTGAAATAATCAYCTGGGCTGCTTGTTAAATATATATTTCTGGACCAAGACAAACCTGCTGAGTTAGAATTCCCAAAGCAGAGGCCTGATAATCTGTATTTCCCCTACTGCAGCCTCATGATCAGGCCAACTGGGCAAACTTGATAGTAACGCTGTCTCACTTGGCAGAGATGCCAGTCAAAATTGAAGTCTTCAGTTACCATCTCATTTTTATTGAGTTGCTAGTGTGTAGTCAGTGTGTAGTCAGTGTAGTGGGCACTAGAGATGCACAGATAACACATGAATCCTAACCATCTAGTTTGTAGTGCTCTGTTAAAACAGTTGCTATAGCCTGTAAGAGCTGTTGCCTTTGATTGCAGGGTAATATATATTGATACATCACCCTAAAGCCTGGGACCCAAAAAGAATCTATCTCCAGGCAAAATAAGAACACATGAGATTGTTTTGTCATATATTTGTATTCTTCATAAAAATGTGTTTTTTTATATCTTGTTTTGGTGAGGATCATGTGGTATATTCATGATACAGCTACTTTATTAGCAGCTCTCCCTGAACCTCTGCTTTTTATTCTTTCATTTTATTTTATTTTTTACTGTTCTTCCATTTCCTTTTATAATATACTTAAACGAGATTTGCTTCCCAAATTATTTTGTGGTCTTTTACAGCCTCATAAAATAACTCTGAGATTGGGGCTAAGGGAAATCATTTTATTGAATATATTCTTAATTAATTATGATTTGATACAGTCTAGTATCATTGCTTAGGCTAATTATAATATATAATTATTGGTATAGCCAATGCTTAATGCTATAATTTGAAACACTATTTTAACTTCCTGATTATTCTAATCTCCCATTTTTAGATTTTTTTCTTTAATTTGTAGCTAAATTATTCTTTTTTTTTCCCTYCTGTGGAGAAACTGATTTGAGAGCATCAGTTAAGTAAAAAAAGAAATTATCCCACAGTAAAGTCTTTGAAGATAAGATGATAAAAACAACAGACTATAACTAATAAGGGGTCACAATTATTTACTATCATCAAATAATGTCACTCATGGTTTTCCCACTGTTTAATGAGGTGTGATAATTTGCAGGTGGTCTAATAATGAAAGGTTTTACTTCTTAGTTTGAACATGTTAAAAGGTCTGAGGATTGTTAGGTTTTCCTTTGGAGTTTAGCCTCTCTTTGTACCAACTAGTGTGTAATCTACTAGCTTTCATTCTGGGAAAATAAAAGATGATGAAAGTACAGAAATATAGTGGGTGGGAATTCAAGTATTCAATGTTATCATCTTTTGTAAATAATGAACTCAGGTTATGAAATACATTTATTATTAGTGGGTTATGAATGACTAGAGGAAATAGTAAGAAACTACCTTTACATGTAACTTGTTTTTTAGTTCTGTACTTTTTTATCAGACTTTGATTCTAGGAAACATGTCAGTATGAATCTTGTATGTTGCACGTAATGACCATGGKTGTCCAGCCATTATCCTTGGAAAATTAAAGTTGGTTTAGTAGATTGAGAATTATGGTAGATCCTTAAATTAGTTATGGTACATTAAATTCATTTACTGTCTGGAGCAAATGGATGAACAGTTTTAAAATGAATATTAAATCTTTTCATCTTTTACCTTTGCTGTGTTACAGAAACCCTTGAAACTCTCATCAGACAAGCAGAAAATTATACCAGTATACTTTTTTGCAACACCTACAGGAACATGGCCTTAGAGGCTGCTACTGCAGTTCAGGAGTTCTTCACCGATGTAGGGCTCTACTTATTTGGTGTGGATGTTAATCCYGAAGAATTTGTAAATAGGTTTTTCGACAGTCTTTTTCCTCTGGTCTACAACCATCTCATTAATCCCAGTGTGACTGACAGCTCCTTGGAATACTCGGAATGCATCCGCATGGCCCGCCGGGATGTTAGTCCATTTGGTAACATTCCCAAAAGAGTAATGGGGCAGATGGGAAGATCTCTGCTGCCCAGCCGCACATTTCTGCAGGCCCTCAATCTGGGCATTGAAGTCATCAACACCACTGACCATCTTCATTTCTCCAAAGAGTGCAGCAGAGCTCTCCTAAGGATGCAGTACTGCCCTCATTGCCAGGGCCTGACTCTCAGTAAGCCCTGTATGGGGTACTGCCTCAATGTTGCCAGGGGCTGTCTTGCCCACATGGTAGAGCTTAATCCACATTGGCATGCATATATCCAGTCCTTGGAAGAGCTTTCAAATGCAATGCATGGAACCTATGATGTTGAACAYGTGCTCCTGAACTTCCATTTGCTTGTAAATGATGCTGTGATTCAGGCTTACCTCAATGGACAAAAACTAGCWGAACAGGTAAGCAGTCAAGCCATGCCTCCTGTCTCATTTCTCAAACATTAACCAGAACATCATAAATTTAGTTGATTATTAGCATATCATTATGCAGTTTAAAACAATGGCAGTTTAACAAGTATATATTTTAGGAAATAGTAGGAGGATGCATGGGGTTAACATATTTGATTCAGTATATTATATTTTATATAACATCTCAAAATGTTGATTGGTAAAAGTACCACTTTTTTCCTAAGCATTAACAGCCTTATCAAAAGTTTAGTTTATTGAAGTGGCAAAAACTCAGGTTCTGAATTAAGAACAGCATAGATTTGAATCTGCAATCAGCAATAATTACCTTCATGAAATTAGGCAAATCTCTTATGCTTTTTGACCCTCAATCCTTATTGATAAATATGAAATAGTAATACATATTTTCTGAAATATTCCTCTTTGGAGATAAGTGTTTTCTTGGTATAGTATCTAATACTGAACAAATGGRTAGTTATTGTTAGAATTTCAGAGGTATTCATCTATACTGTAGAAAACATCAGTTGTGTATCCATGAAAGTAAGACTTGATATCCATGTGTTCAAAGTGTTTCTTTAGAGCCTCTTCAGGATCTGTCAAAGTGATAGTGTGATGATTTTTTAAAATGTAGCAAATGTGGCATATATACTGTCATGCTGTTTTATTTCTAGTAGACTTGAGAATTTTTTGAAACAGAATCATCAGATCAAGGGATGTAAGAGTTTTCTCTTTCTCCCACATCCATAGAATCATATTCTTAAATATTCATAGTCTTCCTTAGTAATGGTTCTCACGTCCCATACAATAAAGAGGACATGTTGCTAGTGGTTCTCCTAAATCTTTTCCCCTAAAATGATATTATACTCCCTAGTACCAAGAAAAAAGTGTTTCTCTACCCTGGTTCTGATTTACTGAATTAATAAACATTCTCATGATGAGCTTTATTTCTCTGTTCTTTTAATTTCTGATAGAAATTGGACTTGAAAAGCTTTGTGTTTAACTGCTTCCTTCCCTTATTTTCCTAACTCTCAGGTCTGTAGGGCCTGCATGAGCCTACATGATACCTTTCTGCACATTAGAGCTGGCACCATCTAGGTGGATGCAGCAGGTGATGTGGTAGAGTGACCTGGATTTCATATGCTCCCTACTCCATGAAGCTGGGTTACCCTATCCAATGAACAGGATTCCTAAATTCTTGTAATAGTCAGGTCGCTTCATCCTTTCTCATCACTTATGAAAATCAAACATTAGCCAGAACCTCTAGAAGGGATTTAAAATGGAGGTACAAATGAATCCTGAGATTTCAAGTATTTCCTAGTTAGGGGAAATAAGCATTTAAATGCAGGGAATAAAATGTCCATAATGGGATATCAAGTATCTTCACAAGGGAAAATAAGCATAAGAAATCTAAGTCCAGATCTGGATCATTAATTTGGGGGTATGGCATTTAAAATTTTATGTCAGAGCATRTTTATATATTTTATGTAAGATATATATCCTCTTTGTTATTTTGACCTTAGAAAGACTTTTTGAATTCTTAAAATCCATAACATTAAAAATGATATCTTTTTCCTATTATAGAGGCTAAGTCACAAAGGACTGTAGTAGATAGACATGTTTTCACATACTTTGTTTTCTTCCGATTTGTGATCTGGGTAAGCTACTAAAACTGCTGGAGCCTGTTTTGTCCTGTGTGAAAGGCTGAGAGGAAGTAGTGGTTTAAGTGGGGCCAGCCCTGCACAGATCATGGTGAAGCAGTTTATTTTAGTATCTCAAAATATTAGAATCAAGTGTGGGCTTTATAAATAAGTTTTGYACAGAATTTTTATCACATGAAACTTTTTGGTGGATTTTCAAAGAGCACTCYTTTTTTTAAGCAAATAGTCTGATTTCATATAATAAATAGTCTGATGATTATCTTGAAAAACATCAATCATTACTAATAAATTGTAGATTCTTTTCTAAGTAAAACAACTGAGATCTTTTTTACTTATGGGGAAAGAAGAAGAAACTAACTATAAGTTCCTTGAAAATTGACTCATTAATATTTATTTCTGCCAACTTCAAAGTGATTTATAAGCTGTTTATCAAGCTTTGATAACCAGTTCACACATCAATGAAGCTAACAAATTCAAAGTAAATTACGGAAGAGCCAGCAAATAATGACTTTCTCACATTCCCAAAGCAATCTGTGAGATCAACTACTTCCAAGTCTAGTTCTCAGTAAATACATATTTCCACTTTAAGAAATCCATAGARGTAACCTGATATATCATATGTATGTTGGATGAATTTCAACTGGAAAAAAATGTTCTCAGTTTCTTGAGAAAGTTGTGTCTTATATTTGGAAAAATCTTCTAAGAAACAAAAGCCAATTTATGAGAGACTGTGTGTTAATTTTATAGTTATAATTTCATAGTCAGAAACTATTTAACTTTGTGTTCCCATGCCCCAAGTACCTGTAAAAAAAAAAACTTAGGGAAGGGAAAATTGATTTTGGTTCATTGCGCTGGACCCAAGTTGAGGCACAATATCATGATAAAGAGTGTGGTTTAAGAGTGCTGCTCCATTTGTGGTGAACAAGAAGCAGAGAGAGACAAAGAGAGGGAAGGGGAAAGGGGCCTCAGGGAAGAGACACCCTTCCAGGTCAGGTCACCAGTGATCCAGTTCTTCCAGCTATGCCTCACCTGCCTACTGTTACCCCCAATCTATTCAAAGTAGGATASACTGATTAGTTACAGCTCTCACAGTCCAGTCATTAAACCTCCAAATATTCCTGCATCAGCACAGAAGCTTTTGGGGGACACCTTATATATAAATCTATAACAAAAACAATGTCAGAAAGAAGTAGGGATTAAAAGTACAGGTTATAAGTGTCAGGATGGATTTCACATCTCTCTGTACCACTTACTAGCTGTGAGTTTGGCTATCTCAGTATTTAGTCTCTTAGCTTTGATTTCCTCTTTGGTTAAGAACACTTACATTATAGATTTCTTGTGAAAATAAAATGAGCTTTCATGTTCAGATCAGTTTCTCATGCATAATGTTTAAATCCTATAATTATTATTATACTCTTTATAAATSCTTTATTGATTTTTTGGTATTTTAAATGCTCTAAAAGTAAATATTCCTTTTTTAGGAGTAYAGAGCTTGAAAGAAATATCAATGATGTAGAGCTCAAAACATATCTGTATTTTTGAATGATCTGTTTAAGTGATTATAAGCAAATGATTGTAAAGATTTTTCTTGAATGAGAAAATACTGGAGTATTTAAAAAATATTATTTTTTTAACACAGAGATCATTCTCTTGCTAATCATTTATTAATTTTATAAATATTTTTGAAATTATACTTTTTATTAATTACATCTAGTATGACATTTGTTATAATTTAGCAACTTATTAAAGGCACAGGAACACAGAATTGGTATTAATTTCAGTGTTTCAACATATTCTAAATGAAACAGATATTATGAGGAAACTACTGAATACTAAGTCTGTATAATTTCAGAAAATCTGTAGTGGGATAAGAAACATAATTTCCAAAAAGAAATATCTAGCTCTATTTTTTGTTTAATTTATTTTTCATCTCTTTTACCTATGCAGTATTAGTAGACATTCAACTGGTTGCATCCAGATTACCTTAGAATCAGTTTCAGTATATGATTCACTTTAAAATAATCAATCTTATCAAAATTTAGTGTAAGATAGATTGTGCACACTAATGAACTTTAATTAGCTGTTAAAAATTGAATATCTTATCATTTCCTCTATGTGTACAAACATTTATCTAATCTCTAAAAAGTATAGTAAATATTCTTGTGTTTTTATATAAAAATTAAAGGAAAAAATAAAATATACTTTAGATTAATTAGGGCACAGCATATATTTTATTTTCTAATTTCTACAATGTTGTATACACTTTCCTAAAATATCCCTGTGTGAGGGATTTTTTTCAAAAATTTTGCTTATGGAACAAATAAGATTGGGGGAAAATAGTTGAAATCTCAGTTTCCAAAATAACCCAATTAAATGTAATGCCATTGCAGTTTTAGATGGTTTAAGTTGGTTATCTTAAACATCATATTCTGTAATAAATATCTCACTTGAACTTAAGAATTATGGGTTTCCTTAATGACAGTCAAAGTAGTGCAGTGTGGGGCTTTTGAGTAAAGAAGATGTAGCAGAGCCTATCTGTGTTTGCAGGCTGAGACATTTTCTCAATCATAAAGCTGGTAATCCATTCCCCCTAGTGAAATGATGCTCTCTGGATGAAGTTCTCCCAGAACAGTGTTCCACTATGTTTGTAGACAACTCCAGTTGTTTCCATCTTCTTTCCTATCTATATATCCCTATTTCAATCTAAAAGTGATAAAGGTAAAATAACCACTTAAAATTTTTCTCAATTTTTATATCAAGTATGCTTTGGTTGTTGTTAATTATTAAGGTTCCTCTGAACTGACAGAGCTCTTATTATTCAAGTATTATGAGCTTTTTGTCCCATAATATTGTTATTAAATAATAAGTATTTAATAAATACTCAGGGATGCTGTAGAATTTTTCTGAAATAGTATCTTCTTCAATTTTATAAGAATGCAGCTCTTCACATGCATCACTGATGTTTTCAACTGCTATGGAAATAGTCTCTGCTACATTTGTGGGTAAATTCTCTTTAAATAAGATACTTCATAAAACTTGTTGTGATTTTTTTTACAGTTTAAATTTGAACTTTTAAATTTTAAAATTATTTTTAATTGACAAAATTTTATATTTTAATGCATAACGTTGTGAAGTGGTTATATTAAGCTAAGTTTTCCATTGCCTCACTTATATTTTTGGTAATGAGAACCTTTACAGTCTATTCTCTTACAGTGTTTGAGTATGTATTATTATTAGTTATGGTCGCAATACTATGCAATAGATCTCCAGAGCTTATTCCTCCTGTTTAAATGGAACTTTGTATGCTTTGAACAACATTTTCTATTTCCCCTCCCC